ATATTTTAGATGTGATAAATATATAGTTTATTTTAGTTTTATCATGCATAATTAATGTTATCTTGTATAAAATAGTTCAAAATCAGCTTGAGCAAAGTTTTGAAAACATAAATAGACTAGATTTTTAAATTTGATTTAAAATTAACTATATATATAATTTTTAATTATAGTTGTTTAGCATATTAGATTATAACTATTAGTTATTAAATATATATGTAATGTATATATAAGTGTAAATTTTTTTTATATTTAATTTTGTTGATAAGAATAGTTTGAATATTTTTTTTTTTGCTTACACTAAGGCCATAGTTATCAGCAGCTATTGTTTTTATTGTATTTTAATTATGATTATATAACTTGTATAAGATGAGTATATAACTAGTTATATATATAACTTTTGGTTGTCTATTTTAAGTATTCTGTCTGCACAGCAGATTCTACACTAGCTGCCACATCTGCAATCTACTAGGTGATTATCTATTTAAATACTCTGATCTTTATACTTACACTGACAAATAATGCACAAGTTTCCATATATCTAAGTGTGTTTAACCTAACTGTAACCTTTTTGTCTATACATCCATCAAGCTGTTACACATTTCAGAGTATGTTACCTGACTGTAGGGCTCCAAGGGGCCCTTCTGCTAACTAACTACCCATATTTAGTCTCTTGTTAACAGGGCTTACTCTTGCAAAGTTTACCCAAACCCTAGCACCAACTTTATAGCATATCTCTAGTACTTATAGTATACCTCTGTTTCCAACCTTAGACTCCCAATCTAGATAGCTTGGTAGGATTATACCTGTTTCTAGTACCTCAGAATTTGCTCTCCAAGGTCCTTTTTCTCCAGTTTAAGACTTCTAATAACCTGGTTGGTGATATCTCTCACCCAAGGTTCTTGCCTACCCAATTTCTTCTATATTGGTATCTGTTTCCTAGATCTAGCCTTTATAGTAGTACTGTTGAAAATTTGTGCTACCTCTTTACTCGGGTCTTTCCAAGTAGGCTCTGGTTTCCCAGTTTACAGATTTATATAGCCACAAGAACTTATCTTAGGTTTGCACTGCCTAATGCCAGTTTGCATTCTTCTGTATAACTTCAATATTGTGCAGATGCCCTATAACCTGTCAGTTATCTGGTGTGATCATATTACAGATACTGATTCTAACTAATCAATGGAATGCTATTGCCATAATACTGTTACTTCCTATAATACTAATATAACATAGGTAGTTTTCCAAATTTTTATCATTAGTGGGTTTTGAACTTTTAACCTACAACTTGGAAGGTTGACAACTTAACTACTTCACTAAGTTGCCACACTTCTTAATAGTTTGAATTTGATTTGAGAAAAATGAGTTTTTTTTTATAGAATTGAAAAAAATATTTGAATTTTGAATGAGAATAAATAAAAGTTGTAATTTATTTATAATTTATTTGTTTTAATGATTATACAATTGTGAATATATTTATTGTATACTTAAAAAATATAATATATAATACAAAAGCTAAATGGTTTAATTTAATTTTATAAAAATTTATGTAATTTAGTTTGCATATATATATGTATTTTGTATTATATATCTAGTAAAAGATAAATTGGACAAATTGAATTTGTTCTAATAATATAAAATTAGTTGACAAATAAATTTATTAACTAGAAATTTGGATGAAGAATTTGTATTATGCAGTAAATTGTTAATAAAAAAAAATACTTAAATGATCATAAGAAATAATATTTCTAGCAAATTTAAAGTAAAGATATTATGCAAATAACTTTCTTTTCAATTGGCTAAAATTATTAATTAAGTTGTAGATTTTTTTGCAAATACTTTTAAAGATAAAATTTACTTTACTTTTTGTTTTTAAGGTGTAAAGAAAGTTCAAGAATGATATTTTCATCTTCTTCAATATTATATTTTGCATAATTTTGATAAACAGATTTAAGAGATTTAGCAAATTGATAAATTTGATAATGTTTATAAAAATTAGAAATTTTTAGTAAGATAAAAAATATGATATGAATTATTAGAAGTATTTGTAAGTGATAAGTTTATAAAATGTTAATAGAGTTGGTAGTAGGAGGTTGCAAATTGCCTAATTTTGAGGCCTGGTCCAGTCTGCAGTTAGAGTTAAAATTTTTTTGCTAGCCTGACTTGTAATTATAAAATTTTGCTTCAGGCCAGTCCAGCTTACAAAAATTTGTAATTGGGCTGTGAAACCCAATGTAGGCCTCTAGTTGATAGTTATAGTTTGAAGATTATGCTTTTTAAGATTTATAATAACTAACATATAATTTATTTTTTTTATTATTGTAAAAAAAAAACCAAAATAGTTGTAAAAATAAATAATACTTATTTATTGGTTTTTTTTTGATATTAAAGTGAGGCCTTGCTTATATCTTTATTAGTAGTTTAAAAATTAGTAGCTACATAAAGCTGTTATATACAAAAAGTAATTTTTTATATAAATGTAATAGCTAAAACTAACACTTGCAGTCAGGCCTAAACTATAAACTGTTAATTATACAACTATTGCTCTAAGTACAAATTGAAGAAAAACTATATTCAAGAATAAAAGCTTAGATATAATTATCTGTGATCTAAATCTACTAGAGTAGTCAAGACTCATCTAGATTTGTAAGTTTAGAATATAGTTATAAGAAATATTATATTTGATCTAAAAAATAGTCCAGATATTGATTTTGTAAATAGTATAACTAATAAATAGTGTTAATATTAAGAGTTTTACATATTTTTGATCATAACTTTTGATGTACTGAACCAATTTGGATGAAAGAACTACCATTTTATTCAGCTCACTGAGATGATTCTAATGAGCACAAGAGCATGTGATTCTGATTACAAGATCAGGACAATTTTGATAAAAGCACTAATTCTAATACATGTAACTTAATTCTAATTGGCTCATATTATTGTGCTGGAAATCTTACATTTTTTACAGATCTTATAGATCTTGCAGATATTACAGATATTATATTTCTATTAGATCTATCATTTCTAACAGATCTATCATTTCTATTATATCTATTATATTTATTATATATATTATATCTATTATATCTATTAGTTCTTATTACTATAAATAGCATTTATTAGCAATAGAGTAGTCTTTATTGTAATAATTTATATATATAAAATATTTATAAAAGTACTACTTTCTGATTCTTTAAGAAAGTTAAATATCTTCATACATTTCATAATTAATAAACTGAATGCAATATTTAGTATCTTTATATACTATCTATTGTTGTCTCTGTCTTAAAATTCCAAATTACTCTGTATTTTGTTAAGTCTTGTGTAGACTTTTGTATAAAATCTGTCAAGTTATAGTTATCATACTATAGTTGAGTAGCTTCTGTTATTACTGTGGTTAAAGAAAAAACTACAGATTAACAATAGACTGGTAATAGAATTGGAATGTAGTTAATCAAATACCTTATATAAACAAAAATAAGTATAATTTTTGTAATTAGAGAGTATGATATAAGGTAGTTTAAGTTTTTGTTGTTGTTTCTAGTTAGCAATGTTTATACAATATGGTTTCCATATTTGTTTATAAGAAAGTTCATTAACTTTAAACAGAATAGCAACTACTGCTATATGTGAAGAAAAAAAATCAAATTTATATATAATTAAGTGAAATTTTTATTTTTTTTACAATAAAGTATGTATTATATTTACATTCAATCCTGTAAAAATCTTGATTTTTATGCATACAAATTTTGTAAAAATCTTGATTTTTAGTAAGGTTAAATCATAACTGCATAAATTTATAACTATATTATTTTATATATATTATATATATGTTTTTTGAGTATAGTATGTCAATTTTTTATATACTCAAATGCTATTTTTGTAATATACACCACTACTTTACTAAACAATACACCACAACTATTTGTAATACTGGATAATAAATAGAGAAATTAATATTATTCAATAAGCTAAAAAAGATAATTATCTGATCACAAACATCTAATTTATATATATTTTTTTATCATGTGTCAATAAACAAAAGCTTATAGGTAAAAATCTAGAAATCACAAAACAAAGTTACAAGATTATAATAACCAATTGGATAAAAAAAAAACACACCATTTCAGATGCCTATAAACCATACTCTAACATAGGCAGAAGTTCATCTGATTGGCTAATAAATTGAATTTAATTTTACATTATTTATACAGTTTAGAGTACTTTTTAAAAAAATGAAAACTAAACATAATGAAATGAAAAAAGCTGTATAGAAGTTTTCATTGAAGTTGTAGGACTCCATAGCCAAAAATAATCATTTATTCTCATCCACTTAAAAAAGGTAGCTTAGTAATAACTTGATTTTATTGGCTTTTAAGAAGTCATTACTATATTAACTTTTTTAAATAGAAGAGAATAAATAATTATTTTTGGCTATAGAGTCCTACAACTCTAATGAAACCTTTGATATGTTTTTTTTTTACTTTATTATAATTGGTTTTTATTTTTTTAAAAAGTACTCTAAACTATATAAATAATGTAAAATTAAATTGAATTTATTAGCCAATCAGACAAACTTCTGCCTATGAACTCTATCTCACTCATTCCCCTTATTACAGTCAGGGAATTTTTCCATATATGGTATTATCAAATACAACTATGATCGACATTCTAGAAATAATATCAATATTCAGTAGTACAAAATTTTATTAAAATTTTATTGGTTACGATTATCAATATAGTATGTTCTACACAACTTGAAGCTTTAAAACGAATACACTATCAATTTTATTATAAGTTATGTATATAAAATATAGTAAACTATTATTTAATAAATTTTAAACCTTTTTAACTATGAAATCGTTAACTTGTTTTAACTATACAACTCTAAATGCAGTTAATGAACACAGTATAGTTTCAAAAAAAAAGCTTGTCTGAAATGAAATAAATGAGTTACCGATAGGAATGATCTGAGCAGAGTAGTTGATGTTTGTAACAATTTTTCAATCTGCTTCATTGTTATTAGTTAATTCTTGAACTTGTTGTAAAATAACTAATAACTTATCTTTTTTCTTTGATTTTAGTCCTTTGAATTGTGATCAATTAGTATCATTTAAAGATCCAATTAATAATTCGATTACCAATATTAGCTCTTCCTTTTTCATTGAACTTTCTGTTAATTGTACTTGTTCTTCATCAGCAGTAATAAGAATAGGCTTGTTAATTGATGGTTTCTTTAAATTTAATTTTTCATTGATGTAATTTATGTGTCGGGCTTGAGCTATGATACTAAATGATTTCATTTCTTTATTTAGTTTATTACATCTATCTAAACTCTCAAAAGGATGATTTTCAATTAGATTCAGAAACTTATTTTTTCTTAATTGAACTCAAAATAATTGTGATTCTGTTTCATAACCCAGACAATGTCATGGATCAAGGTTTTTAGTGTCTGTATATTCAATTGTAGCAAATAACCTCCTTCACAACTATTATCAAAAATAAACATTAATATAAAGAAACAATGAGTAGTATGACAAAACCCAAAAATTCGACATGTCAAATAGCATATAATAGATATGCTATTTGACTCCTATTTGAAATTTCATGAACATGCATATTCACAAGACTGCATGATAATTAAGTTATATATTTAAAATAATAGGTTTTATGATAAGTCAAATTTTGAATGTTGATTAATATATATAATGAAATTTTTATTTTAATTTTATAAATTTTACACAATTTCTTGCTATCACTTTCTAATGTTTTTGAGTTGGTATAGGTACGATAAGCATCTTTAGCATTTTGTTTACTTCTTCAAGTATAGTGTCCAATTCTTGATACTAATTTGACTATCCTGATCATAATACAACTGAATTCAGTTCAATAAGTTTTTGAATTTTAGGATGAAGACACATTAGCTGTTCCTCATTAGCTACTTCGATCTCTTGGTAAATAGAATATTGTCTAGCAAACCAAATAGGAGCAAATACTCTATGAGCTGCTGATCTAAGTAATGGTTTATTATGTCTAACTCCATTATAAAAGTTTATAATGGCTTGCAAATACAGAAAGATCTAAAAAAAAAATTTAAGTATTAATTAATTTAAATTTTTAATATTTAGAATTATGAATTGTTATAATATTTATTCATATTTTAATTTATATAATTCATCTTTTTAATTTTTAGCCCATTCAAGTTATTTATTAACAGTCAGATTAGAGTTTGAAACTACATAAAGCCAAACCAATTCCATAGTCATCGCATGTTGGTAAATATTACAAATTGAATTCCATGCTTTATAATGATATACATATTTTTTAAAATATTCTAGTTAATTTTCTGTTCTGTATCCTTGATTTTGCATATAATATTGTAGATTAATAGTCCTAGATTTTATATCAAGATTGTAGAATTAGACTAGTTAAAACAGAACAGAACTAATATCGACATACCAATTTAATTTTACAAAGGATTTTAACATATTTATTTCTTCATGAAGTGGACCAGATATTAAAATAATTTCTGGATAGTTATTTTTAAATTTTTGTGCGTAGTGGTAAGGAATTTCATCACAAACTACTGCAATCCATTTTTATTCACCTTTATTAATTCCACTAATTTCTTTAATATGATTTAGGATTTTTTGAACATTTATAATAGAATTAGGATTTATCGATAAAAGGTCTGAAACAAAAATATCAGGTACATTAACATCATTCTGAGATTCAGATATTTGAGTTATACTAAGTGGATTAGTTATATTTATAGAATTCTTAGGAGTTTCAAAATTACAGAATTTAAACATTAAAGATTTGATTGTATTCTTTTCTTGAGGTATCATTGGATTAGTTTTTTCATAAATTTCAGCTAGTGTATGAAGTTTTGCATTGCTGTAAGGGCATTTATGTTTAGAATTTTCAATATCACCCTTGCCACATTCATGACACTTTTTTTTTCTATCTGTTTTTATAGTTTGGTTTTCAATTAAATTATCAATAATATTTTTATCTTCATTTTTTTTTATACATGTTTAGTTAAGATGATAAAAAGGTAATTTTAAGTTGTTGATCTATTAGTGTTTGCATTTCAGAAGTGAGATCAAACAACTATTGAATTTGGGATGCATTAAGAGTATCATATAACTAAGAATTTTGGATATGTTGTATTTTGTTAATAGAGTCAAAATTAAATAAAATGAAACTTGTAACAGTATGATATACAACAGTATTATGGCCATAATCTAAATATTTTTTTTGGCCTTTTTGTTCGTTGGCAAATGCCATAACAATGAAACCTTTTAGAAATGGTTGAGATTCACCAGCTAAACCTTTTTGCTATTTAATAAACTTATTATAGCTAGCAGAATTAATAAAATGGTTATCAATATCAATAATTGACTTTGACCTTACAATTGAGTATTTAATTACTGATGCTGTTAAATTAATGACCAATACATATTTTAGATGTCTTATTCTGTAAATCATATCAATTGCTACAGTACATTTGAATAGTTTTTTACCATCATATTGATTTTTATTTTTATTTAAGTTAAAAAATTTAATAAATTTTACAACAACTTAGTTTTGTTTACTAAGCCACTGAGAAGATAAATATTTTAAAAGACTATCTAAATGAAATCAATTGTTATCTTCAACTAGATTAGATACATCATCATATAAATTTTTTTGTTCCATTTTGTTGATATCAATTATGGCTTCAATATAATCTTGTTGATTATTGAATCTTTTGTTTAATTTCTTTTTTAATAATTCATTTTCAGATAATAACTGTTCATAAACACATTCTAATTTGTTAATTTTATTAAAAAGTTTTTCATATTTGGGATCAAGTAAATATACTTGAACTTCAAAATTACTGAAAGTTTTCAATTCAACATTGTTCTTTTTTTTAATATTTTCTTGTAATTTATTAATAAAAGAATTTTTAGCAATAATCTAATTATAATGCTTTCACATAATGAGTAATTTTCTAAGGAATCAAGTAATAGACTTAATTCAGGAAAGTACTGAGACACAATTATAATTTTATTTCACATCATTTCTGCTGATGCATTTTGTTATCTCTGATTTTCTTTAACTTCACATTGTATTAGCTAACTATTTGGATATATTTATACAAGAAAATCAAATATGCAAGGTAAATCTTTAGCTTCAGGTTTTGAAGTTGCCATTGCTAATTAGTGTAAACAAATTGTGAAAAAAATTGTAGTATATCAATTAATCTTTGAATATATTTTGATATAATGCTTACCAAATAACTAAATGATGTTATTATTTTAGATAACAAATAGCAATAGGGTTGATTAATAGGGAGTTATGATGATAAAAAGATAAAGAATATAAATAAGAGGCAGGTAAATATTAATAAGATTGATATATGTTGAGATGTATAATTAAGTGTTTGAAAATTTTAGTATATATGTAGAGACACAATGATAAATTTAAGTCAAGATGTTTTTATAAATTAAGAAATAAAAATTAAATAAATATTTTAAGATGAGCTGTAACAATAGTTACAGAGACTTGTAACCAAAATAAAAATATGAATATTGAATTCAGTTTTTGAATTCACTTTTATTTTTATTTTTATAGTAGAATCGAGTTTGAAAAAAACTTTATTAAATGTCAAAAAACTACAGTTTAAATATATTTTAATTTTTTTAGTTGTCTATTAATATGTTTAAATAAATTTACATTTTTTATTCAAAAATAAAAAAACAAATACAACAAAAAAAAGTACAAAATAAAAAAATCATTAACAAGTTTCAATAAATTCCTATTTTTTGTATTAACTGAAAAACTTTATTCTACAACTAAAAGATGCTTTTATCACAGATTTATTGATGCCATTGAGAAATTCTCTTATGTTAATAACTGATTTTTAATTCCTTACATCATCCTTCAAACCATTGGTATAAAAGTGAAAATTGATTTATATAAACAATTTTTTACAATAGACCCTCCAAAAAAATGGTTACTATATATATCTAAATTAGTAATAATGGTAACTAATTAATGATGCACTAAAAAAGGCATAGTATGGATCTGTGAATTGCTATATTTGAAGATTTTCTCTGTGTGCAACATTTAGATTTCAGACTAACTGACTAAATAATACTGATATTAAAGAAAATACTAGAAATAGAATAATAATAAGTAATACAAAAAAATATCTAAAAAAAAACAAAACAGTAATGCACAAACCTTGAAAGGTAACAATAATATGAAAGTAGATAAATCAAACTACAATGATACTTAGCTAAAAATACAAATTAAAGGTTTCTAAATACATTCAAATTAGATCTATGAATAATTTCTATAAAGAAGTAAAAGAAAAATAAGATTTTAGATAACTAGTAATGATTTAATTCAATAGTCTATAGTTTGCTTACCCAGATATTTTATATAGCATATGGATTTTTTTCAGAAATATGCTCATACAAAATGCTCATCATCAAACAAGATATAAACACATTTTGTATTAGACCTTGAATCTTTAATTATTTCTCTGATAAAAAAAAACTCATTGATTTCTACTAAACTATGATACAAGTAAGTAAAATTAAATTCAAAATGCTAAAACACAGCATGAATATTCAATTTGTAAGTAAATTTAAATAAGTCAAAGTAATATAGCTTACCTTTTATTAATTGTTAGTATATTCTTTTAACAGCCAGATCTTAAATGCATTCATTGCATACTGCACACCTTATACAAATTTTCCTTAAACAAATGTAATATAGCTTAGTATTATATTATAAAAAGCATATACATATAGTTTTTATAAATGTGCACACTCTTCAAATACATATCTTGCCTTTTTTTTCCTTTCTATTTTACATGTTTTAAGGGAAGTACTTAAAAGTCTAAATGTATTTAATTTAGTATATGCTTAATGCAGTAATAGTGACATGTATACTTTTTTGTATTGCTGCAAAATAATCACCTTGTAGATCATCATGGATCTGCATAAATTCTGAATTTATATGTTAGAGATATTGTTCATAATAATTTTCTTTCTTATGTCTATAAAAAAAATTTGTGTAATGAACTGTAGAAGATTTTACATATAAAAATTATTCTAGAAAATTCTTTAATACTTCATCAATCAATTACTATATTTGGAAAATTCCCTGACTGTATTACAGTGTCTACTGCTGGTGTGAGCTATGAAACATGATCCCAGAAGCATGTGAAAGGAGGTAATTTGTGTAATGCAATAACAATTAATGGCTATATTGATCATCTACCTAATATGGGCTTCCTGTTCTAAAA